TCTGTAAACCGCTTAGAGAGGGCTGAAAGCCCTATGAAGCCCTATGAAGCGGTATATAAGTCTAACTGCTATTGCTATTGCTATTGCTGTGGACAATCACTGGCTGGGAATCCTGGGAGTTGTAGTCCCAGCACAACTGGAGACCTCGAGGCAAGGAAGGCCGACGGGGTCCGATTCTGCAGGGGGCCCTTTTCTCCCTCCCATCCAGCCCCCAACGTGGACCCTGAAGCCGGCGTGAAAGCAACACGCCACCACGTGGAAGTGGCCGCAGCCGTGGTCTCACCCCCTGCGCCGTCCGGGGGGACAGCGAGAGATGCGTCACTTACCGGGACTGTCCTTGGCCACCAGCCCCCTGGAGCAGCCGGCTGGGGTCGGCGACGTCCGGCTGTAGTGCTTGGCAGCGTCGGGGCTGTGGCAATGCTCCCACCTCTTCTGCTGCAGCTCCTGCAACCAGTACATCATGTCCTGGTGCGTGGCAGCCTGTGGCGGAGAGAAGCCGGCAGCCCTGACGGTTACAAGCATTGAGGGAGGGGGAGGAAGAGAGGATCGGAGCAAGCGGAGAGGAGGCTTCCCAACCCGCTGGAAACACAGACAGCCCAGGAGGGCAGTCATCGCCCGTCTCGGCAGGGGGGGGGGGGCCTTGGAAGCCATCTAGTCTGACCCAGGACGGAATCCTGCTACGACCGCATAGGCCACAGAACGAGTAGGGAGTTTCCAGTAGCGGAGTTTGGCTTCCCCTCCTTCACTCCCAGCAGTCTTAAGGTTTTGCCTTCTGCACTGGGGACTCCGGGAACGGAGTCACGGTCTCTCTCAGGGGCCAGTGTTGACCGCATCATTTCCCACAACTGGCATGTTGGCTTTGGCCTGGGTGACCTCTGGGACTTCAGCAGGGCCACCAGGCAGCGGCTGCCAGCGTGGAAACCTCAGAGGTGCCCCTGGCCAGCCAGTCCCTCCTGAGCAGCTGCAGGCAGGGGGTGGAGGGCCGGGAAGCTGAAGGCCTCCTGAGGTGGGGAATCCTTTCAAATGGGGGGGGGAGGGTTTGACTTTGAGCCCCTTTCACCTTCCATCAGCCACAGCCCCCCATCCCCACCCCTGGGTCAGCCGAGCGAGGGGCGTGAGCGGCTGCCCTGCCGGGGGGCTTGAGAGCCAAACTGCACCCAAGAGGTTGTGCAAACCCATCTGGAGAGGCCGCCCTAAACATCTGGCGCCGCTCCTCATGCGGGGAGGAGGAGGGAAGGGAACGTGCCAGCAACCAACCCGGGGTCTCCAACGGGGCCCCGCCTGGAGGGTCCTCGCTCGGCCAGCCAGACCCTCCGGAGAGGAAGGCTCAGCCGAGGGAGGCGGTGGCGGCCTTGGCCTGCAGGGGTGGAGGGAGGAAGGCCGGAGCTGTAGCGGGGCCAGAAGGGGGCTCCTGGCATTGGCCCCTCGGAGAAGGCCGGGACCCCCCCCCCATTCTGCAGCCTTCTCCCGTCCTCCGCCCCCCGGGCCAGGGGAGGGCCAGCCGAGGGCCGCGGGGGCCTCTGCCACGGAGGGAGGAGCTGCCGAAGGCGACCCCCCCCCCCGGTAAGGGCCGAAGAGCCCCGGCGCTCCCAGCCACAGCAGGGAAGCCTCCGCGCGGGGCAGGGCCGCCTCTCCCCTCCCTCCCTCCCTCCCTCCTGGCCCGTCTGCTCACCCGCAGGACCGCCACGTCGCCGCCGGGCCCGTGGATCTCGAAGGCGGTGCCGGGCGCGCCGTCCTCCTGGCGCCGCTCCTCCTCGGCCGGCGGCGGCTGGAGCTGCGGCTGGGGGCCCGGGCCGGGCGCGGGCGCGTCGTGCAGGCGGAAGGCGGCGTGGGCCAGCTCCAGGCGGCCCAGCGGCTGCGCCTCCCGCGGGCCCTTGTAGTAGCAGAGCGCGCAGCGGGGCGCGTCGAAGGCGAACCAGCGGCTGCGGAAAGCCCGCAGGGGGCCCTTCCCGGAGAGCTTCTGCAGGTAGCCGCACAGGCGACGGCCGCCCGCCGCCCCCTCCTGCCCCTCCGCCGCCGGCATCCCGCCAGCCGCCGCCGCCCGCCCGCCCGCTCGCTCCGCCCGCGCATCCCTTCCGGCTCGGCCTCGCGAGGAGGAGCCGCCGAGCGCCCCGCCACGCCGCCGGCCTCTGCTGGCGCCTCGGAGAAGAAGGGCGGCCGCGGCCGTGAAAGGTTCGCTTTACTGAGAGTCGGGAAACCCCTTCAGACGACGAGCGCGGAGCAAAGGCTGGAATCCCCCGGGCGCTTCACACACGGCGGGCAGCAGGAAGAGTCACAGCCAGGTCTCTCCTCCCCAAGGAGAAGGAGGGTCGTCCTCTGCGCCCCCCTCCCTCCCTCCCTCCCCGGCGTCTCCTCTCCACTATTAAAAGCTTCGCACCATCGCGCAGTTGTTGAGCCCTTGTTTATAAAAGGCCGGTCGTTTGCCCGCTAAGTAGCCAAAAATTACATAAATATAGATATGTATTTTGCTCTCAAAGACACTTAAGAATTTTTACCTAGAGAATTTTACCCATTGCGATTATTGTGGATGAATCCACATTTCTTTTTTAAAACAAATGCCTTTCCAGGTGAGAGGAGGAGGAGGAATGGTTGGGCACCATGCCCTGCCAGCCGCTGCTTCAACCGGGCAGTCCCTTGAGCAAGGCAGAAGCTGCCCAGGAACCCCCCTGGGCTACCCAGGGGCTCCTGCGAAGCTCCCAGCCTGGGCTAGGGCTGAGTCCGGCCACGCCATCTGCTTCCCAGGCTGGCAGTAGAGAGAAGGAAGGGGTGCCCACCTTCTGCTGGGGCTTGGCATGCCCTGGAAAGGCCAGGACGCAACTCTTTCCCTCCACCACTCCAGAGTGGTGCCCTCCCGGACACTGGCTGGGAATCGGGGAATCTGGGCAGTCCCAGAAGGCTGCCAGAGCCCCAGCTTTTCCTCCCCATTGCTGCATCCATTCCAGGCTCTCCCCGTGCCAGCTGTGGGGCAGGGAGGGTTCCCAGGTGGGGGGTGAGGAGGATAGTCTGCTTGGTCCATCTTTTGTTGCCTTGGTGACATCCTCCACGGGCAAGCAGTCAGCGTGTGCAAGGAAGGGGCTCTTGGGGGCCAGGCAGGGCTGCCAAGTCTCTGCAGTCAAATGAGGAGAGAAGCCCACCTGAGCAAGGTGAGCCCGGCGTCTGCATAGATTCATGGCCGTTGGGTTGGAGCCAGGGCCTCAATTCAACCGGCATGCTTGGCTGAAAGGCCCAGAGCCCTGGGGAGCCTTCCTCCTGATGAGGGCTGGCTGCCCAAGGCCAGGGGCGACCCGAGGAATCAGATGGGACCCAAGCTCAGCGTTTCTCCTTTGGGGAAGGGGCTACCCTTCTATTTCTCCAACGCCCCCACCCCAAGGAAGCCTTTGAGGAAGGGGCTGAAAGGTCCCTGGCTGGGTCAGGTTTTGCTGCCAACTTTCCATTCCAATATTCTATATTTTACCAACTTATCTCATTTCTGGAGGAGGTTCGCATTCTGAGGAAAAACATTGCAAGGTTCTCCACTGTGAGATGTTGCAAAAGGAAAATGTTACCTGCCAGAAGGTGAACTGAGAAAGAGGCGGAAGGGAGCAAGGAGTGTGATTTTGTGAAAATGCCACTTTGCTTAAAGATCTGAACAGGCCCCCAAAGGGCCCAAGGGGGCTGGGCCAGAGCCGGGGGGGGGGGTTTCCACACAGGAGAGGCTCCCGGTACCTGTGGCTGGCGGGATCCTTGAAGAGGAGGAGGGCAGGTGGCCCTCTGGGGCAGTGCAGAGGAGGGGAGTCTCAGCCCCAGAGACACGGAGGGCAGGGGGATGCTCTGGCTGGGGCAGGGGAGGCCTGCAACCAGCAAGGATGGGGGGCACTAGGCATGCAGGGAGGCCTTGGGCACACCTGCAACCGCCGGTCCTGCTGGGGAAGCGAGCAGGGTCCTCCTGCCACTGAGCAGGGCCCCGGCTGCAGTGGGAATACGTTGGCAGTGCTCAGCTGAGATGAACGGGCATAGGAGGAGGGAGGTGCTGCCCGGGCTGGCAGGAGAACTGCAGGGAAGCCAGAGGCAGATGGCACGAGGCCTCCCGAGGGCAGCTGGGCTGGAAAAGGAGCCGCCGTCCTGACACGCAGCTGTATTCAGAAGCGTCAAAAAGTGGGGGAATTGGGGAGAAGCGGCAGGGAGGGGCGCCAAGCAAGAATGGGGTTGACAGGCCGTGTGAAGGGCAAGCAGGCGACAGCCACGGGCTCCCCGGGGAGACCTCCTGGGACCTTCTCCTGGGACCAGATGTTGGGGTGAACGCTGGAGGAGGAGTCAGGCGTGGAGACCGAATATCTGGCCAAGGGAGGCTGCGGTGGGTGGCACTTCCCTGCCCGGCTGGCACCCTCTTGCCACTTGCAAAGCACCCCTGCCCTGCTCAAGGGAAGGAAGGAAGCGGAGTTTCGGAGTCTCTTCCATCGGCTCAGGTGTCCGGATCTCTTGGCCTCGATTGCAGAAAGGCCAGTTCCAAAGTCCAGGGAGGCAGCTGAGATCCAGAAGGACCCGGCCGTCATCCTGTCCGGTTCCCCTTGCGAAGGGCAGGTCGGTCTGGCCACGCTCGGCCTCTCTTATTTACAGTAAATGACTTGGCCCAGACGGCGAGTGTCCGTCCTGCTGGACCAAAGGGAGGGAGGGGGGGTTGCTCCCTGGCCGGGCCCTGCCAGCTGCCCCTCACTTCAGCCGCTGGATCTGCTTCTGCAGCTCCTCCTTGTCCAGTTTCATTTTCGATTCCAGGACCTGCTGCAGGGATCCGATGCTCTCATAGATGGTGCTGAGTCCTGGAAGGGGGGGAGGAACGGGGGGAGCTGGGCCACCCTTTTCCCAGAGGAGCCCCTCCCCCCCGAAACCAGCCTTGTCCAGCAGCAGGGAGGGAGAAGCCACGGCCAATGGGAGATGCCCTGGCAGTGTAACTGGGGGGGGGGGGGAGTTTGCCGCATTACTCTCTGCTGACACCCCCTCTCCCCCCCCCCCGCAAGAGACCTGCCCAGACACCTGTTGCCAGCTGGGTGTCCCCAGGTCGCCTTACCGGCGCTGACCTCTGCCTTGACTTCCTTGATGTCCTCAGTGAAATCGGACTGGAGTTTGCTGAGCTGGACGGTCATCCTGTCCTCGGCCGGGTTCGCCTCCTGCTCCTGGGCTGAGCCCTTTTGTCCGGCTTCCATTTTCTGCAGCTTCCCGTGGATCTCGCTCAGCTGCACCTCCAGGGCCCTGCTGTCCAACTCCTGTGGCCAAAGCAGTGGGAGGAACAGCCGTCACACACACCCCGCCCCATTTGGAGGGTCGTCTGAGCCCCGGAAGCCCCCGCCTGCCCTGGGCAGAGGGGGGGGGGTTATTCCCAAAGGCTCCGAGGAGAACCTCAACTTAGGGGCCATCAAGGAGCGGCAGTTAGTCAGCCAAGGAAGACGCGTGTTCACTTCGGTCTACATACATCTTGGTTAAAACAAACCATGGCCTGGTGCCGAGTGGAGCCGGTTTGCAACCTGACCCCCGTTTGCATTGTGTGCAGCCGACCGACTGGCACAACTGACTGAGCTCCTGTGTCCCTCCGGGGGTGGGAGTGCTTCCCAGGGCCCCCCAGGACAGAGACCTACACTCTTCTCCTTGATGGCGAGGAAGAGGTGGTCGATCTTCTCCAGGAACTTCTTCTCGAAGCGCTCCTGTTCCTGCTCCATCTGGCTGCGGGCGGAGGAGATCTGGCTGGTGAGGTGCTCGATGGCGTCCTGCAGCCTGGGGGGGGGCAGAAAGAACTCAGCCGCCCCCCAAACAAAGGCAGCAAGAGGGGCTCAGGCCTCCCGCACGGCTGAGACGGAGCTCCTGGGCAGGTGGGAAAGGGCTCTGGGAGGAAAGGCGGCATTTCCTCCCCCAGGGGCACCTTTCAGGGCGCCCCAAGGGCAGCAGAGGGTGTAGCCCTACTGCAACGGGTGGGGGAAACGGTGTGAGCCCCCCAGGCTGGATCCTTGGGGGGGGGGCACCTACTTGGCCTCCAGGAGATGGAGCTGCTGGTTGCTCTCTTTGTAGGCCAGCTTCAGCTTCGCGTCTTGTTGCATCACCGACTGCTCGATTCTGCTCAGAAGGTGGGAAATCTGGCAGGGAGGGAGGGGAGGGAGGGGGGGCAAGTGGCGGCTTCTTCCACACAGAATTCCCCTTTACAAAGAGCCTGGCCCAAACTGGGGGGGGGGAGAAGCCCCAGGTGCCCCAACGGGCTGCCCATAGTCGCCGTTTCTCCAAGCCATTTGGGAAAGGGTTGCTTTTTACGCAATCCACACTGGGGGGACTGTTCCCATGGAGGGGGGGGGAAGCATTTAGTGGTGAGGTCTCTTCCCTGCCAGGGGGGGGGGCATGGCCTTGCTTCTGAGCAACCCCCCGCCTGTAAAGCAAAGGGCGTTTTTCTCCAGCTGCCAACTTCAGGTCCCATGAGCCCCAGCCAGGATGGAGAGGCTCCTCCTATGCCCCTCTTGCTCGCTCTCTACCACCCCCATCTCCTCGGGACCCTCTCCCCCCAAACTCTCCCAGGGCTTCTCTCTGCAGAGGCTGGCCCAGAGGGAGGGGGAACCCGGGAGCAGCCTCGCTCAGCCAGCCCCAGGGTAGCCCCCCCCCACTCTGAACTGGGAAGATTCCCAAAATAGATGCCAGGAACGCCCTCTGATCTCCCGTCAGCCTCTTTCCTGACGACGGGAGGGCACAAACAGGCAAATCGTAGGGGCTGGGAGGACACGGGATCCCCTCCCCCCCTGGCTTAAGTGGACCAGGGGCTGCTGACCAGGGGGAGCAAAGGATTTTCTGCATTCCTCTGGAGCGATGCCCCCATTTCTCCAGGGGGAGAGGGGGCTTCAGCACAGCTGGCGGGAGGGTCTTGGGAGAGGCGGGGAGGAGGGTGGCCCGGCCTTTCCCTGACCGGCTGCCAGCCCAGAGGGGCCCCCGGGGGGGGCTTCGGAGCTCCACTTTCTTTATCCAAAATGCCCACCCGCCCCCTCCTTTTCTCAGCTACCCCCCCTTCACAACCTTTTTATGCAGTAATAATAACAATAGCTCAGCCGTGCAGCTATTGCGTCTCCCATGGCAACCGAAGCCATCTCAGAACCCCAGCTTTCCTCCCAGAGGGGACTCGGCCCACAGAGGGAATTGCGGGGGGGGGAGGGGGTTGGATCCAGCATCCCCCAACCCCAAACAAACGATCTGAACTGGGCCCAGAAAATGCACTGAAGCTGATTTGACGACCTTCCTCCATTGAGTTTCTGCTTCAACCCCTCCCGGCTCCTCTGGGGGCTAGGAAAGAAGCCCCCCCCCCCGCATGCCAGCAGACTAGGATGAGAGCCAGCCCCCTCCCCCCGGGGGCCCCAGACCAGAACCAGCTTCAGAGGAGAAAGGCTGCGGGGGTTCTGCACAGTCAGGCTGGCCAGAGCCAGAGCCGCCTCTGGGCCGGGGGTTCCTGACCCCGTTGGGCCTGGCTGAAGGGCTCCCAATCTCCCTGGGGCTCCCGGGCGATGCCCACCCTGGAGAGAGGAGCGGGCGACCCGGCACTTCAAGCCCCTCACCTGTATTTCCGTCTCCTTGATTTTGGACTCCAGGATCATTTTGGTGGCCTGCTGCTCCTTGCTGAGGCTCTGGAGTCTCTCGTAGGTGACCTTGTGCTCGGCGGAGACCCTGGCCAGCCCTGCGTCGCACCTGGGACGGAGAGAAGGGAGAGGGGCTGCCGGAGAGGGCCGAGGGAGAGCCAGCCAGACTCCGCTCCTCCCTTTGGCCAGCCACATGGACTTTAGCTCAGTCCAGCAGATGGGCTCCTACTAGGCTTCCTCCCCAGGCAGGCAGGCAGGCAGGGGAGAAGCAGGAAAGGGGGGCCAGGCAGCCACAGGTGGGGGCTTCAGGGGAGCGGCCAAGGGAGATCTTGGCAGCCACGGAGTAAAAGGGCATCAGGGCCAGAAGAAGCCGACTCTCCTTGGACTGGAAGCCCGGGGAGGGGGGGGGTGTCAGCCAAGTGCTTCCCCAAATAAGTCCCCCTGTCTGCAGGGCGGGTCCCTCGTAGCGGAGGGGAAGGCCCCAGAGCAGACCGTGGTTGGGAAGGAAGAGTCTGGGGCCAGTGGAAAGGCCCTCCCGCCAGACCCCCTCACCACACAGCCTTGCCCGGGAGTCAGGCTGGGTGAACCGAAGGGAGCCATGAGCATGGAAAGAGGGCCAGAGTGGAAAATGCATTCTTTGCGCAGGCTCTTGTGAATTTAGTTTGCAACTGATGGCCGGAAGAAGCTGCTCTGTGTTGGTGGCTTTTGCCCGGGGCCACAGGACCCCAACTGAGGGGCCCCAGGCTGACCACAGAGGCTCCGATCCTCTGCATACCTTCCTGACCTCCTCATAACCCATCAGCAGGGTTAGGACTGTGGCTCCCAAAATCCCCTGCCTTCTTCCCCAGCTCCTCCTCCTCCTCCGAAACGGCCTTCTTGCATCCCCCCGAGAGTCTCCTCCCCCACAGAGGGCCCCCCCTGCTTCAAGCCCTGGGGAGCCTCACCTGGAGACCCGTCCACGAAGGTCTCCCAGTCCAGACAACTGCCGCATCTCCAGACTCTTCAGGGTGGAGTTTGTTCCGTAACTCAGGTTGTCCCTGACCCGGATTTGCTCCTGCAGAGCCTGAGAAGCGCAGGAAATAGGATCATGAATCCCGCCCCCCCACAGCCCCTGGAATGGGGAAGGGCGAGAGGGAGCTGCGGGGGCTTCCTGCCTATCCCAGGGCTGTCTCCAGAAAGGGATGGAAGGAACACTGCAGATAGAGCAGCGTGGCCAGGAGCAGTCTACCTCTCAATGCCGGCTGTGAGGTCTCTGCGCTCCCAGCCGGGCGCTTCCTCTAGTGCAGGCAAACTTTCTCAACCTGGGGGAATTTCGGAAGCTGCTCGGGTGGGGGGATCCTGCCCCAGGGGAGACTCACTCAACGTGGGGGAGGGCAGAAGAGGGAGGGTGGTCCTGGGACGACGTGGTTGGGCGAGGCGTGGCTGTTCTGTGTCTCCAGCAGCCCCTCCTTTCCCCAAGCAAGCGTCCCTTAGTGGGAGCCCCGTGGCCCGGAGCGGCTCCCCTGGGTGTCCAAGGAGCCTCAGGGGCCGCAGGAGCCGCCACTGACCTCAATGTCCCGGTTCAGCTGCCGGACGATGGCGGTGATGTTGCGGATGTGCTCCTCCAGCAGCTGCCTGGCCAGCCGGTCCCCGCCGCCCTTGTTCTGCATCCGGTGCAGCGTGGAGACGATGTCCTCCTTGATGCGGAAGGCGTGCTCCACCAGGGCCGCCGTGGTCTTCTCATGGCTGAGGATTCGGTCCTCCAGCTGGTCCATCAGGCGGGCGGAGCCCAGGGGAACCGCGGTCAGGGCCTGGCTGTGCAGCGGGAAGTTCCGGATGCGCCTGAAGGGGAGAGCAGCCGAGGGGCAGCAGCAGCAGCGGCAGAGGGAGCCCACCTTGACTCTCTCGCCTCCCGGACACCCACCCACCCACTTACCCCACCCCTATCTCAGCTCTGTCCAGCCTCTGCTATGGCTTGGACGGGGCTGGGCCTCTTCTGGGCCTGCCCTCTGACCTCAGGCCAGGGCAGCAGGGGGGCAGAAAGGTGGCCCGGAAGCAGCAGGAAGCAGCTACCCCCCCCAGAAGCCCCCAAGAGCAGCCCAGCCCAGCCAGGGAGCCCCACTTGAGGCTGGCCAGGACCCTCCAGAGTCCCCCTCCCTTCCCCTCCTTGGGGGTCTCGGGGTACCTTTCGGTTGGGCCGAGGGTGGAGAAGTTTGGGCTCCTCTGGGCCATCTTCTCTCCGCAGGGGTCTACGCCTGTTGGGGAAAGGGAGCCCAGAGGTTGGCGGAGGGAGGGAAGAGGGGCGAAGGAATCTTCCTGAGCCAGGGAGGGGACTGTGGAAACGAGAGGCCAGCGCGGAGGGGGGCTGACCAGCCTTTTGGGCCCCTGAGGGTCCCAGGGCTTCCTCTGCCCTTGCTGCTTTCCTGGGGGCTCCTTCGGGGCGCATCTATTCAAGCAGCAGCGCTCAATTAATGGCGCTGGGGGGGGGCAGGTGTTGAAAGGCCCCCATTAGAGGCTTCTCTGGGGGGGGGGGCTTCGCTGGCTCTTCCTAAAGCAAAGCAGGCAGGAGCAGAGGGCAGGAGGGGCGCATCGCAGTCACCCGGGAGGGTCTCCACGGCAACCACAACCAGCGGTCCTCGGAAACACCCCCGTCTGAGGAGCCCCCCCACTGCCTGCCTGCCAGTCCAGAACGGCCGAGGGTCTTCCAGCTGGGCTGCCTCCCATTGGGCTGGCCCAGCACAGCAGGAAGGACGGAGGGTCTCACCCGCCCCGAAGGATAAAGCTGGGCTCCAGGAAAGCCCCTCCCAGGCTGAGCTTGGGGGTCCCAAAGGCCCCCAAGTGGGATTCAAGCAGATCCAACCTGTGGGTGGCAGACTGCACAAGTCTCCCTATTCACCAGGGGGGGGGTAGAATATCTTCCCTCAAGCGCCAAGATGGGTATTTCTAGCCTGAAAAGGCGTCTTTGTATGAAACCCCCCACCCCTTTCAACAAGCAAAGAGCTGGAAAGGGAGAAATTGTCTGAAAGGGCCAAATTCCAGAACTCCCTCTTCAGCCCCCCACCCCCAGCCCCCAGCCGCCTCCTGATTCTCCAGGGAGCTGCCCTGGGCTGGTGGCGCTGGGGAGACCTGCCCTCCTCTCCCCTTTTAGGGCCAGTAATGCAGAAAGAAGAGGGGCCTTTCTTTCTCCCGGGGAAGATTCCCCCCCCCCCAGGCAGCTCAGCAACTCACAGCACCACATGCCACATCTGCATCCAGAGCCCCACATGATGCTCTTCCCAAGACCTCAACCATGAGTACCCGGGAGGGAAAGGCATCGCCAGAGGGAGGGAGGGGGGCTGCTTGTCTCTGCCCATCTCCAGAGCAAAAGCTTCCCCCGTTCCCCTCCCCCTCCCCTCCCTCCCAATCTGGGCACGATGCCTGCTCACCTGAGCAAGCGGGGTGGCTGGCAGGACCAAAATAGCCTCGGGTGCCCCCCTTCCCAGACCGAGGGAAGAGCGAGCGGTGTCCGAACCCTTTCTTACCTGTGGGCAGCAGGGCAGGGCTGCCCCAGACCTTTGCCTAGGCATCGCCTCCTTTGCCCACTTCCAGATGTGCAGGAATGCCAGAGCCGTTCCCTGAGGCGGGCATGGCCGTCCGGCTGGGGCTGCGCGGCAGAAGCGCACCTGCCCTCTCGCCTCTTTGCGGGTGGGGCCTCTGCCAGCGTCCTGGAGGAGGGAGGGAGGGAGGGAGGAGCGAAGCGCTGCGAGCGGTTGCCAGGACGCTGTCGCTATGGCAACCCCCATCTCATCCTCCACCAACCGAGCCCCTCCTGGCGGGAGAGGAGCAAAGGAACTTATTTATGGGGCGCAGCAGAGCCGAGACCAGCAAGGCTGCCTCCCCAGCGGAGCCGGGACCCCCCAGCGGCGCCCTCCGAAGAGCCGCAAAGGAAGCAAGAAGGAAAAGCCGGTATTCCCCGCAGATTCACGCCAATAAAGGACTCGCCTCCCTCCCTCCCTCCCCCGCCAGGAAAACCCCGAGCCGCGGCGGTGGAAGAAGCGGAACGACACCGCGGTTGGCGGCTCCCGAGGACTTGTGGGGCTCGACGGAGCAGACCAAAAGGCGGTTGACCCCGCCGGGGATGGCCTGCTCTTTCGCCCGCGACCGCCAGGGGCCGCTGCCGCCCGCCCGCCCGCCCGCCCGCCCGCCGCGTCCCGGGACTGCCGTCCAGTTCTGCAGACTCGCCGCTCGCCGGACGGGAGCGAGGGCGCTGCCCTTCGACTGCGGGAGTCCCGCGGCTTCTCCGGGTGGTGCAGTTCCCCCGTCCCCGAGCCGAGCAGCCCACCTGGCGAGGCTGTTACGGGGCCGGGGCGGGGCTGGCGGGCCGAGGCACCTTGTATGGGCAGAGGGGCCGGGCGGACGGGCCGGGCAGCGGGAGGAGCGCCGCGAGGAGCCGCCTTCTCGGCCCGGCTCCAAGGCCCGGCGAGGGGCGGCTCCAGTCCGGCTCCCTGCATGGCGCGGTTGCTCCGCCGAGCTCTCCGTGGCGGCGCCCGGGCTGCAGCTGCGCCCTGAGTCCGACGGACCCGGCGCCGCTCGGCCATGGTGAGTGGGGGCCAGGGGGGGGGCCGGACGAGGAGCTCCGCAGATTCGCTGCCCGCCGGGGCTCCCGGGGTGGAGACGCGCCCTGTCCGTACGTCCCTCCTGCGGGCTGGGGGGGGGGGCTCGGCCTCTCCCGGGGGAGAAACGCGGGAACTTCCGAGGGCTCCGTTTGTTCCCGTAGCGCCTGGAGGGGGGCGGTTCCCCCGCAGATGTTTTGCTCCGGGCGGAGGCCAGACGTTGCGCCCGGGAAGGGCTCCGTCGCGCGTGGCTGAAGGGTGCCAGGTCCAGGGCCGGAGGGCAGAACGGCGAGGGCCGGCCGGGAGAGGGAGGCGAGGGGCACGGCCGACCTTCGTTCTTGGGGCGAAGTGGAGCTGTGTCTGCCGCCCCCTCCGTCCTGGGTCTCCCTCCCTCCCGCTCCCGCCTTTCCTTCTGCCAGGCGCCCATGGCGCTGCTCTTTCCCCGCCGGCCTTTCCCTCGGAGCCCGGGGGCCAGGCAGGCTGGTTGTTGGTGCTGCTGGCGGCCTCCTTGGCAGAGCATCCCTCCCGGCAGGGCTCCTCAGGGGGTGATGCTCCCTTCCAGGCTCCGAGGGGCTTCGCTCCAGAGGGGAGAGAGAGAGAGCAGGGCACTCTCCTGTCCGTGTTGTCGACCTTGGGCTGCCCCGAAGGGAAGCGGCTGAGCCCCCAAGTGGGCAGGCAGGACCCCCCAGGCCAAGGAGAGGCAGGTGGGGAATCCAGCTGGAACGAAAGTGAGTGGTGCCCTTCCCAGCCTGAGGATCCTTCCATGCAACTGGCAGGGCTCCACGCAGACCCCCACCCGGGTCCCAGATGACTCCGCTTCCTCCCAGCCACAAGGGTTGGCCCCTTCCCAAGACTGGAGAAGGCTTCCTGCCAAAGGTTTTGCCCCGGCTGGCCTGCTTGGTGAAGGCAATTGGAAACCCGGGCTCCAGTTTCAGTTTTGCGGCAAGCCTGGCTTTTAACCGAGCTGGCTGGCGTTTCTGGCGCTCTCGGGCCAGGCTGCTGGGAGGGGGGCTGGGAGGAGGCAGCCTCCTTAACCCCTGGCTTCTCGGATCCCTCGCCTGGGAGAGACGTCCAGCTGCTTCTTGAGTTTCCTGCCTGGACCTTCAGGGCAGCCCAGGACCACCACCTTCCCCTCCCCAGAGCTGCAGGAGGAGAAAGCCTTTGCCGGAGTTCCGCCTCTCCGCTATTTTTCAACTTGGCAGCATCACTTTGTGCATTTCTTGCAAATGGAAGCTTAGATTTTGACCCCAACAGCCCCCCCCCCCCCCCCGATCCTGGGGTCAGCTTGGGCTGCTCGGAAGGGGTCTGTGCTGGCAACTCTGCCTAAAGCTGCCCCCCCCCAGAATTGCCTGTGGGTTGCCTGGATGCCTCGGGGGATCAGGAAGCCGAGGGTCAGTTGGAACCCCCTGAGGAGGAAAAGCGCTGCCTGTCTGATGCTCAAGACGCCACATGGGAGCCTCTGGCTGGGAGCGCCTGGGATTTTCTAATTCTGTCTGGCTTTGGCAAGCGGCTCCTTTGCTGAGTGGCCACAACCAGGGCCTGGTGGAGAGGGGAGACTGGAGAGGAAGGGGCTCCCGCCCCCTGGGCCACTCCCATCCTCCGCTGGCTGGGAGGTTCCCAGGTGACGCCAAACACCTGTTGGAGCAGCCTGTCCCCATAAAGCCTCCGCTGCGTCTTGGCTCGTGGCGCTGCAGCATCCCTGCGACACGGACCTGGCCATGCGCTCCACCTGCCCTTGGTGGCAGGCCTGCACACTCCCCCGGATGGAGGCCCCCGGCTGTCCTTCTGCCCCCTCCGAACCCCAACGCGGGCCGAGCAGGGAAGAGGTGGGTTCCATTCGGCTTGAGGGTGGCAAGGTTGAGTTTGACTTTGGTGGCCGTCCTAGTGAGTTGGTCAGACTGAGCCAGACTGCGTAGCCCCTGGACGCACAATGGGTCTTGTGGCTCCGTGGCCCAGGCACTCTTTCTCCAAAGCCAGCTTGCTCCCTGCCAGGCCAGGCCCTGCGCGTGTGGGGCATCTTCATCCAGCCGCAGCCCTGGGCATTCATGGGATCGGCCGCCTGGTTCTGCTGGAAGGAGCCACGGCCCTTCCTGCCTTCGGTCCTGCTCCAGGGCAGGAAGTCGGAACTCCCTCGGCCGAGGAGGGGCAGGTGGTGCCCCCTCTGAGTGGTGGGGACAGGAGGAACGGTCGGTGGCCTTGGGGGTCTGGGGGGGGGTCTGCCGTGGTGGTGCAATTGAGCAGGGCTTTGGTGCTGTGCGTCTGCCCTCCCCTCAGATTCCCAAAGCGGCTGTGGGCTTCAGAGGGCTCTGAGCTGGAGGGAATCCCCAGCAGGCCTTTGGCTGCAGGTCCGGCGGCTGCAGAGATGGGTCTCTCAACGGGGTCCTCAATGGCCCCGTAGACTCTGAGGGGTCCAGCTGTTTCAGGGCCGGCTGCTGCTGGTTCGGGCGCAGCTTTTCCGATCTGTTGTGGTCTCTCCTTATTTGCTTTGGTGGAGCGCAGGGCCTTCCTTTCTGCTGCTCCTTCCGAGGGAGGCTGTGGGGCGGGGAGGGGCTCGGGAGGACAGGCAGGGACCTTTTCAGTCAACACGGTTGGATCTGACCTTACTGGAGATTCTGGTTCAAAAGAAGAAAGAACACGCCCGGCTGGCTTGTCTGCAGCCTGGCTTCTCGCTGGCCGGAGAAAGTGGCTGGGGTAAGGCCTCTTCTCCTGGGAGGCTGGGGGTCTCGGCTCCGTTGGGCTGCTTACGGAGGAAGCCCTGGTGGCCTTCAAGGGGCAGTCCTCAGGCCAAGCCTGGCTGGGAAAGCTCCAGAGGGGGGAGACCCCACAGACAGCCCCCTTGGTCGGGAAATCCCTCCTTATGGCAAGTTTACATCTGCTGGGCCTCCTCGTGTCCTCTTGGAGAACCAAGGGAAAGGGCCACCAGAGTGCCAGTCTCGGCCAGGGCAAATCCTTGGCACGGCCACTTCCGGCAGTTCAATTCTGCACCGTTGTTGGTCTGGGCCTGTTGCACGAAGAGGTTGAGGAATCGGGGAGCCAGCCTGACTTGTAGCCCTTTGTCCTTCCTTCTTTGGCCCTCCTGGCTGAGGAGGCGTCTTTGGGCTTAGGCCACCGGCGCATGAGGAGGATCCAGCAGGCTGGGGATTATGGGCCCTGTCTGAGTGGGAACTCCAGTTGTGGTTTTGACCGACCTGCCCTTCGCTTTGTGGTGGAGAAGAACACCACCAGGGTGGCCGCTGTGAGGCCGGTGTGTGTTGCAGGGCAGGGAGGATGTGAAGTTAATGGCATTTCTATTTTTCGTTGGGGAAGGCGCATCTCCAACTTCCTCCCACATCTGTGCTCCTACGAGAAAGGCCAGGATTCCATCATCATTCATCAGTTTTATTTCTCCCCAGCATGACTTACTCATCCCACTCCCCCTGCCCCCCCCCCTTCTTTTGTGCAGACACAACTTGCAGGCTTCCTTTTCAGAGGAGCCGATTTATGATTCCGTTTTTCCTTCAGCGCCTGCCTTCTGTGGCTCCTCAGCCCTCGTTGCTCCTGGCTGGCTGGCTGGCTCAAGGGGCCTGCAGGAGGCTCCATCCGGGGATTCGGGTTCAACTTTTGGGGGCGGCAAAAATGTGATTGAACTTCAAGGGCGAGTTTTCCTTAACCAAAGAGCCTTTTGTGCGGCCGGTGCTTCCTCGGCGGCCAAGACCCCCCCTCTTCACTGCACGTGGGGAAAGCAAGCCAGGTTTTTTTTTGGGGGGGGGGGGTTAACAGAGAACCAGTTGAACTTTCCTTGGTGGGTACAGCAAGTCACCCCCTCATTTTGCTGCCATTAAGGAAAGGAGCGACCGAATCCCCGGGTGTGGCTGAGTTTCCCCTTCAGCGAAAGCTCTTCGTGTCTCGTGCGGAGCCTCCCATCTTTTCAGACAATAGGAGGGACAACTGGATCAGTGGCACCAAGGACCATGGGAGCTGTAGTCCAAGGCTTCT